TGCTCGGGCGTCGCTAAGGGGTATCCAGGGATGACGTCATCGACACCCGCCCCGCCCCGCTCCCCGGGGTGCTGCTCCCAGGGGTGCCTTTTAATTTCCAAAGTGATTCCTGCCGACGGGAAGTGTGGCCATTTCCCCTAGGTCGCTCCATTGTGTTTCCCTGGAGTGGGCCACAGGTGCACACTTGGAAAGGGGAAATGAGTTCTCCCCATCCCCCTGGTGATGTTGGCCAACTGTGCAGTCGGTTTTAAAAAATCCAATGCTTGGTGACCTTCATCTTGGTACAATGGTAAAATAAGTTTAAAAAAAATTTATTTCGTGGTGCTCGGGCCTCATACATGCTAGGCAAGTGTTGGATCACTGAGCTACAGCCCAGCCTTCATAATGACCCCTAATAAGCTTTACTTATTAAGAAAACTTACTACTTTAAGGTTGCATCTGTCACGAGTGCCTATAAAAGTGTCAGTTGACTCAAATCCCCAGTAGTTTTACTTATAAGGATAAGTTCTAGGGGCATGGTGCGCTCGCCTCTTGTCAAGTGGGTTGGTAGGAAGTCAAACGTGTATTTTCATATGCCTAACTTTTCTTTAACCTGAAAGTGAAATTATCTAGTGGAAACACCCTCTCTCTTCATTTCTTACTCAGAGTAGATTGCAGGATTGCTTATAATGGAACTGGAAAGGTAAATGTCTGAGTTTTTGTTTTGTGTGGAAATGTTTGCAAGTGTCTGGTACCAGTCTGTGAGGGTTGATTTTAGAATAATACTCCCTGCTTTGTTGGTACAGTCTTGCCTTTAGGTGCGTTGCAATGGGCAGCATCTTCTAGACCAGTGGTGGCCAACATGGTATGGCATGCGTACTGCAGTGGGCTGCTTATATCATTGAAAGCTCTATAAGGAACCTAGGCAGAGTATAGGTGACAGAATACAGGTGAAGAGATAGGAAGCCAGCAGAGTTTGTTCTTGGATGAAAAGTGTGTATGGCCCTCAGTAATTGAGAAATCAGTAGGTGAAGCATTTTCTACTATGCCTGCCAACATGTAGGCCTTTAGGGATTTGGCATTAAAATAAACTAAAAATAGTGGATGATAAACTAAAATTAGTCGGCCCTCCATCTCTTTCTGCATACATGGATTGAACCAACCGTGAATTGAAAACTCTTACTCCACCCTCAAAATTTTGTCTGCACTGAACACATACAGGATTTGCCTTGTTGTTCCGTGAGCGATATAGTGTACCACCTATTTCCATAGCATTTACATTGTATTAGATATTATGAGTCGTCTAGAGATGATTTTGTGTACTCTTTTATATGAGGTACCTGTGTGTCTACTTTGCTCTGTGGGAGTGGGATGGGGTCCTGTGGATACTGGAAGAGGACTGGTATGTGCTATTAATTCCTATTAAATGTGGATTTGTCACCCCTTCTGAAAAAAAAAAAGTCCAGGCTTGAATTACAGAGAGAAACTCTGTTACACTTGGATAAGATTAGTGTATTGTGGGCACAGGTGACGCTGCTGCCTGAACCTCTGTCAGATGTAAAAGTCTCATCCAGTACAGGAAAAGAGAGAGGACAGAAGTGGGAAAAGGAACCTTTTGTAATTTAAGAAGAGAAAAATATATAAGGTAAATAAATTAAGAAAGGTTTGTAGTAAGTAAAATTTTTTCCATATTGCTTATAGTTCATTTCTCTCCCTTCCTCTTTTCCCAGAAGTAGAGGCCAAGTCACTCTAAGGGATTTCTCCTACTGTCTCTTCCATGAGCGCATACTATGTGGTGCAGCATGGGTCCTTCACTGAGAACAAGTAGAGACCCAAGCCTTGTCTCATCCTGTGAAAGTGGGAGTGGCTTAATAACCCCAGCACATAAGCCTTGGTTTGCTTACCATATGCTTTTGATGATAAAGATTCTTTTTGTTGACCATAAAATGAGTAAATGTTGCCTTATAATACATACTGCTTAGAAGTAAACAGAGTGCTACTTGTCTTCAGGATTTAAATGACTTTTGCTAAGGTTAATTCATAGTCATTGAGGTGGAGATACCTCCCTGTATGTTTTATTCATCTTTGTTTCTCAAGGCATCACATTAAAAAAGGGCCAGTAAATATTTGTTGAAGAAATGCAGAAACTCACATTTAGTGGCCATATTCACTTCCTTAGACAGGAAATTAAAGATAGGGTTCCCTAGATCTTCTGTTCTTTTCCAGTATGCCTCAAAGTGAATTGGAAGGAAAAGAGGAGTGTTATAACTCTTCATTATTCATATATGATTAAATGAAACCTCAGAGTGTATGGAGATTGAGACATATTAGCATACTTATATAAAATATTGAGCATTAGGGCAAGGTGAACAGTTTACTACTAGGGTAGCAGTTCTTACATTACCAACAAAGACTGGAACTAGGATGAACTTTTTCTCCAGCTTTATCGAGGTCTTATAAAAATTATATTTAAGATGTACAGTGTCATGTTTTGATGTACTGTGAATACATTGTGAAGTATTACCACTGTCAAACCAATTAACATACCCATTTTTTTATATAGTTAGTCTTTGTGTGTACGTGTGGGTGTGGTGAGAATACGTGTGATCTAGTCCAGTGGTAACTAACCTACGGTGTGTGCACTACAGTGGGCTGCTTGTATCATTGAAAGCTCTAAAAGGTTCACCACTGATTTAGCTTCTTTGCAGATTTCAAGTTTACAGTATGTTATAACTAACTGCTTACTATACTATCCAGTATGTCTCCAGAACTTGTAACTGAAAGTTTGTATTCTTAGACCAACATCTTTTCCCTGACTTCTGACCTCTGGTAACCATCTTACTCTCTAGTTCATTGATTGAGCTTGAGTTTTTCATGGTCTACATAAAAGCAATGTCACAAAGTATTTGTCTCTGTCCGATTTGTTTCATTTAGCATAATGTCCTCCAGATTCACCTAGGTTGCTGTAGATAGCCACAGTTCTTTCTTTTTTAAAATTAAATAATACTCCATTGTGTGCATGTGTTTACGCTGCATTTTCTTTAGTCATTGATTCATCAGTGTTATATTCTTTGTCTTGGGTGTTGGGAGTGGTGCAGTGAATA